ATTTGAATTATTTGAATTTTTTTAAATTATTTAGATTATTCAAATTATTTGAATTATTTGAATTATTTGAATTATTTAATCTATTTATATATTAGCTAATTTAAACAGGACGTCAAATAGACCCTAAAGGTATCTCGATCATATATATATATATGTATTTTTATATGTACATATTATATGTGCGTGTGTGTGCGTGCGTGTGCGTGTGTGTGCATGTGTGCTTATGCATGTATGTATGTCTACATGTATGCGTCTCACACTTTTCCTGTCTTCACCATGCTAGCCACTGATGCCGGGCTAGGATCTGATTGTTTGGACTGTGCTGCAGTGAGCAACCGTTCTTTCTGAAAGCATCTGGCCAACAAATCCCAGAGTCTAGAGTCTGTTCTGCGACTTCCTACAGGGACTTCTTGCAAGTAGTTGAGGGACTTGCTTCTGACGGTCCAGTAGAAGTACAGTAGGAGCCAATCAGCGTTTTGCAAAGCTGCCAATATCTGCCTATCTATTGGGCTTTAGAATTTCCTTGCAAGGAGGCCCAGCAACAACCGCATAATTTGCAGTCGTCATACTAATACATCATCAACCGATGGATCATAGCCGGGCAACACGCCCATGCTTGATCTGCAGCTGGAAGCTTTGTGCTGCGAAAAGTCAAACGGAACGAGCACATTGCAGAAGCAGAGTGCTCCAAGCAAAAACACGGTCACAACATCAACGTCGGCTTGTCTGTCCAAGACCTTCCTCTCAAGATCGCCATTCCTCCTTGGTTTCCTTGTCTTCCCTGGTGGGCTCTCGATCATTTCATGCAGGCCAAGATGCCAATGGTGACGACGAGGCCGGCCAAGGAGCCCGTGAGAACGTTGGCAGGGAGGTTGCCCTGCATGTTGCAGGACTTGTTCAGAACTACGGCACATGCATTTGGGGATATCATGGCTTGGGTGTTCAGAACGACGGCACATGCATTGCTGCGTGGAGACATCCCCGTGCTTTGCGACATGTTCCCGTTGAAGTGACGCCTTGACCCGCGCTTGACGGTCGCTGGCGTACTGAAGGGCACCATAGCCTCAGCAGCGGGACGGGTCATGACATTCTCTGTACGAGCTGGGCCTTCGAGAAGGCAAATGAAATTCGACAAAACCGTGACTGTGGCTACGGGATGCCGACTTGCTTCTGTTTAACAGCGCGTTTTCACGCCTTTATCAGCTGCAAACTTTGGTCAATCTCTTATCTATGGCACACGCGCAGGCTGCCTCTCAAAGACCCTCCCTTTCTTGAGCCAATTCCTAGGCCCTAGGCCCCGGCCAGCACAGATCTGCTTCCAATCTCGCAAAATCAGATAGGACAGGCCATGCATGCAAAAAGGAGGTCGTCGCGGTCTACCATAGGTCTCTGCCCTGCAGCTGCTTTCGTTTGTCTATGTCCTCAGCACTGTTCTCCCATTGAACTCATTCACGCCGAGTGGCAGCGCAGTGCAGCCCAGCCAGAGGTAAGTGCAGCCGTCGTCCAGGGGAAGACATACCCGCTGAGCAAGAACTCCAGAACCATCGGGAAGATCTTGCACGAGCAAATGCCAGTTGGGACGTGGTTGGTGTCGAGAGCTAGGCGAGGCAATAGGTCAGGGTTGGACAGCACTTTCTTCTGAGACGGATCAATGCTGCCTATCCTTCGGACAGCAACTGGGACCATTACTTGCCGGCCGTACTAATCAAGCAGAGGGCCAGAAAGCCTAGAAATTCATCTTGCGAGAGTACCATGTTCACCAATACAGATCTCAAAGCGTTGAGATCACGACCTGGCTCCGGCCTAGACAGAAACCATCCAGTACCTCACTTTCCACAGCGTGCCTGCTCCATATGATTCTGCACAGCCCGCTGCGCCCGGTTGAAGCGCCCGAAAGGTTCTGCATCATCCATCAAGACCTGAGGCTAGTTTGAGCCGTTTCTGCCATGTCGTGTCTAGCATGCAGAACACAAGCTCTCAGCAAAGGCAGGAGATGCAATGCAAGCCAAGCCATTTCAGATGTGCCCTTTCAACTAATGTCCCGCTCTTCGTTTTCTTCATGTACAGCAAAATCTACTCTTCAAGCTGCCGTAGTCCGAAGGCTCGGACTAAAGATCCGTCTGCATTCCCGCCCACCACCTTGTAGGCATGCTGGTCCTGCTGCAAGTCTGGGTAAGCTTGCAAGAGTTCTCAGACCAAGCTTGCACTCATCGGACTTTATCCCCAAAAATCCTGTCTTGTCCAGGACTCCTAGAAAACCATCATCGAAAAATTGTGCTCGCGTCATTGCAAGCTAGATGGAGTTTGAAAGCTCCTCTGCCCCGTCTACCGGCCGGCCCAGTGAAAGCCATGGCACATCAACAAACAGTGAAGAGCACAACAACAGCACCGTAGGCCATGGCCACCCAAACACATACAAGACTGAACCCATCATGGTAGGGCTTAATATTGGGATAATGGAAAACATTGGGGTTACACAGGGGTATAGGGCTACCGAGTATCGTCCGTAGGGCACGGAGACTAGTGATAATCACAATCCTGACCATCACTACTCCTGGTAGGTTCTTGGTAGGTAACAACACTGACCATGGAGCGTGGTTAGAAGCAGAACAACAACAGTAATACTAACTACCATGCAATACTTGTAGTGCCTATTATTATCCTGATTGTCATTATGATCACTCTATATAACTATATATATATGTGTATTTAACTATGTTACTATACAAACAATACCAGGTGGAGGCCAAGGTCCGGCACATTCACACCGCTGTCACGCCGAGCATTGCCAAGGCTGGCTTGCATTAGCATCAAGGTGAACCTCCTGGGCAGGCAGCCGTTCACATCTTCTGGGGGTCCATATCGTATAGTGACCTTGTCTTCCAAGACAGAAAAATTGAAGAAAACAAATATGTAATTCAGGATTCTTTCGTTCAGGAAAATACTTGGTGATTGGTGGTGGGCGCTTCAGCTCTTCTACCTGAAGCCAAAACTGATCCCATGCTATCCCGCAATGACGGCGCATGCAGGACAAGACATGACAGGGCACATGAAAAACACTGCGAGGTAAAGGGGGCCAGCGCTCATGGTTGCAATGGTGTCCACGCGCTCCTCGCTGCAAGGTCATTGGCGTGCATTGCAGCGGCATGCATGATGACGTGGATAATGATCATGTTACCGAAGTGCTGATTTACAAGGCAGCGCTGGCCGAGAGTGAAGTATCCTGAAATTTACAACGGACAGCCCTGCGTCTTTTCAGGCACTTCTGTCCGCTTCGGATAACATGCGAACTTCGCAAACATGAATATCGATACCAGACTATGGGCCAATGCATCAGGACATATATGAGGACATGTGCATACTACGGTTACTACGGGGACATCTCCACCTACCTGAACGAAGGAGTTGCGCTTCACGGCCACGACGGCTCCAACGATCCCTGGCAGCGAGAAGATCAGCTGAAAGACAGGAAAGACCTTGGCAGCTCTTCAGGATGTTCCTTGATCAAAGCCTTCGACAAGATGCCTTCCATCCTCATGTGGGGCTGTGACAGTGTCTGAAACACGATTCTCTCTCGGGTGCCCTGGTCTTGACAAGGAAATTGTCTCCGTTACGAGTAATACACCATGCATGTCGGCTGTGGTGAAGTGCTGCCAAGCGACAACGAAGAAATTGGATTTCTCCATACCCATCTTGGCCTGAGAACACTGGGCTGCCACCGATTAGTAAGCCCCAGCACTTCCTGCCATCCTGAGGCACGTGGCCTAGAATTTCTAGTTCTTAGGTCTGCTCATATGGCAAGGTGTTCGACATTGAGCTTGTGGCTTGAAGTTTCTTGGAAGATGGGGCAGCTAACAGATTCAGATGTGGACAAGACAACCTTTGAGATTGCAGTTCCAAAGGCAGCTGACGAGTCAATACTTCAACTCAACTCCGACATGAAGCTTGGTTACTCGCAGCTTTTATTTCGTATGCCGTATGAGCCTAAGTTTGCTAGATCAAAAACAGAACTCAACAACATACCGCCGGGTGGCAAAGTCCGACTTTGCTGGGTCTGGACGGGACATGGCTGCCAGAGCAAAGAGCAGGTAGCAGGGCGATGAGCGCTTGAGCGGAGCAGCTGCACAGGACTCATCAAGCCGACGCTTCATGAATCTCTAATAAGCAGGCTTCAAAGTCGAGAAGGTGACTGATGAATTGTCACATTGAGAAACGTCTGAAGTCTCTTGTGGAGCCGCTCACTGAACTACAGTGGAGCCACGCAGCCCCGGAGTTACTGATGCTCAGCAGTGAGGTGATTCTCCTCATTTCTGAGCCTTGCACGGCGCGGTTGCGCCTTTGTTGGCGAGGGCTCGTCCGCACCTTCGAAGCTAATGCCTTTAGCTCTGCAGCTTGGCTGGAAGTTGCCAGGCCAACTGTGCGCAGTAAAGTCACCTTATTATAACTATTGCGATTATTCTTGGTATTAGATTGGTATGCGTCTGAAATTCCCAAAGAGCGAGTTCAGCATCGGGCCCAGGGCAAACCCACGGCTTCTCTTTTCTTGCCTGGATTCAACTGGACACCGAGCTTCTCCATGATGCTCTTGTGTGCCTGGCTTAGGGGCCAATAACTAGTATCACGATTACCACTCTTATCACTATAAGTACTATTCGTATTTTTGTTACTATTACTACTGAAGGAATGGGTTTGTAAAAATCAGTCCTTGCTTCCGGCCGCTACTTTGAGGTCTGAGTGCATTGAGCGTAGTATACCGTATACATGGTGATCCCACATAGCTTTGGGAACATAGACCTTACGTAGTTTGGCCACATGCCCTCCGTCCGTATCTCATGGCTATCCTGCTGACACTGGGGAAATGGACATAGGTCTACAGTCGGGCAAAGAGTGGGATCTTGGCTCCACAGAAGTCTAGCAGCACTTTGAGTCGGGCGGGTCCTTGTGCATATTTTTCCTCTATGCAGCATATACGCAGCTTTTACTTGGAGCTGCAGCTGTGCAGATAGAATTTGCCGGTCACTATACCCCGGATGTGCGATGCCCTGAGCATCTCCAACCAAGATCTGAGGCGCCTCATGGCTCCATGTAGTGGCCCGATTCCGGAGAGTCCTCAGATGACACCAGAATTGCAGTGACTTCCACGGAAGCTGGTATCATCATATTGTGCTTACGACTGCTGTGATTTCAACGAATGCAATCACATCATCTTGTGAACATTCTGTCAGAACCCTCCATTTGAGCTTCAGGGTGTCCACGCAATGACCCAGACCGGGATTTGGGTTTATATATCAAAAGCATGGCATGCTCCTTTTCCCTCTATACTGACTGGTGGCTTATAGATCAGAACAACAAACACGAGGAACATCGTCATGAACATCGTCATCCTCTGTAATGTCCCAGGCTTAAATGTTCCATATATGGAATATGGAAGTCCGGAATTAGCCCCGCTTTAGGGCCCAAACTCAACAAGCTCCAGCACCTCACTGTCGCTGGAGCTATCGACCTCTGCTACAGCCTCAGTCAATGTTTTTCTTCTCTGGGGAACCCCTACAGCGTTAGAGGCGCACCGCCAGTTGTGGCCTTTTGTTGTTAAGAAGAGCATATGCGATTCTCGAAGTGACATTTGTAGCGAGATATGGTGCCCACACATTCCAAAATTTCCCTCAGCAGAGGGGAGGGGATTTCCGGGATATTGTGCCGGGGGTATGGGAAGTAGAGTGCAGAATTTGGGGGATGCCCAACTTCTGGCAAATTGGAATGCTCATGTTGAAGCCTAGGACCTAGGGTAGCCTCCACTCCTAGAACAAATCCGAGGAAGCCTGCAGCAGGCTGCCAGTCTTGCAAAACTCAAAGCATTGGCTCTGGGAATCCATTGCACAAGGTCTAATTAGAGTCGGAGCGGAACACTTCAGGGATACGATCCCGCAAATCGTAGGGCAACCCATGGGCTCCGAACCTACATGGCAAAACATGTGCTTCAATCTATCTGCCTGGGAAATTCCTGGCCCCCTCCAGTTCATATTATTGCCCTCCATAAGGGATCTGACGAGGGCAAGGCAGCGACTTTCTCTGCTTCCCGCCGTGTCGGCCTGGTGTACACAGCAGCACGGGCGCAGGGATGAGGCCGATATCAAGTATCAGTGTATAAGTATAAGAAGGAACGCAGGCAGTCACAAAAGGCGAACGCATGGGAAAGATGACTCAAGCAATGTTCACATGCGCATTGCATAATTATACGCATGTTGCCTTCAGATACATGAAGTCCGTAAGAAAGTCAAGAAAGGCTGTCCCGGCAACTCATCGCCTGGACAAGACCTCCCAGCGTCAACGGCAAGCCATTAGGATCCATCACTACAACAAAAAACTCCGACTAGGCAGGAGCATGTACTCAATCAATTAAGACCAGCATCTTGACCCATATAGAAAAGTTTCGTAATAAAGAAAATGCTCCTTTTCTGCGGTTTCCTGTGACCTCAAAGAATTGACAGGTCTTCTTGGATTTCATACTTGAGCAAAGCGAACTTTTGGGAGACTCCAGTTTCACTGTAGAAGGCGAACACCCTAAACCCTACATGATAATTTCCATTTTCTTTTCCATTATGCCTATACAGCCCTAGACATCCCTATATAACCCTATATTACCAGTTTCAAGGTAGAAGGCCAAGGTCAGGGCGGTGTCAGCGACCGAAGTCGAGAGTTGCGTGCCGCGCGGCTGCTGCCCTGAAATGGTGCGTGAGAGCCACTGCTGTTGATACTAAAAATCCTGCATGACCTGAGTATACTATCAAGGTAGAAGGCACTTAGGGTCATGCAGGATTTCTATTAGCCACCATATGCAGAGTTCAGGGGCGGTTGGTGCACATCATGGACATGCTTTTTGGAGTGACTGCGGCAGAACGGTCATTAATAACTGACAAGTTCCCTTGCTTTGACAGCTTCCCAAGCAAGCACACGGTCTAAATCAACACAATTAGCAGAGAAGCTGATCCAAGTCAACAGCGTAGACGAGGATACCAGGCTGGTTGAAAGGCGCACTGACTGACTATCAAGCAGCTCCACTGGTATCATCTTTGGCGCAAACAGCGACACTGAGCTGTGCACTCACATTGAACAGCTGTGGAAGCCATCTACAAGCATACGAAACAACCTGCCCCGTTCTACTGGAACTGGAGGGTTCCATGATATTTTCGGGAAGCCACCCTAAACCCTGAACCCTCATGCAGAGCCTTTTTCCCGGATTGCTTACACGGGATACTCTCGCCGCATGGCTTCGATATATGCATCTTCATTTGCCAGGACGCGCCCGCCATCAAGCTTGTTCAGCACCTCGTATTAGTGGTATACAGGGATTTGTTTTGGCTTATGTATGAAACCAACTGTGAAGCAACCGTTCTCGTTGATGCGCTGGCAAGCTACATTTAGCGGGTGGAAAAGGTAAAAGACGTGTGGGCAGGGATGTTGCTATGTCAGGCCCAACCCTCAAACCACAAGGCCTGCTGCACGCGATGAGTAGCGTCATCGCCCCAGCCTGCGTTGAATGCATACGTCCACTCCAAATAGGTCATCCAATGGTGCTACAGTCACCAGATATGGGGGGGCTTCCCAATGCAGGCAGGGAAGGAAAACGCAGTGCCTCCAAGGCCAATCTCGGAGAAGCGCCGCCAGTCACAAAGTGCTAGCCTGCGGCACGCATCTGTTGATTCAGTACCTGCCTGCCGTAGAAACAATGAACTGTAGTCAGAGTCTGACACCAACCAGCACCACTGCAGCAACTCTGGGAGTCTGAGAACTGTGCCGTCCCTGCATGCTATTACCCGCGCAAGTATGCAATCATGCGCATGCATCTACTTGCATGGTTGAAGCTGCCCTAGAAATGGTCATGCGAATTCCTCTTTCATGTTGGTGCCATATTGGGGAGTCCCGATGCTATGGTACCCATTCTAGGTTACCATCTGTGCCACTGCTTGAACTTTTGAGGCATATGGGGAGCCCATGGGAATCCCGCACATTAAAAATCCTCGCATGCATCTTCGGAACTCGAGGGAGGTTCGGAAGGCCGAGTACTCGGGCGGTACGTCGCCTTGGGCTTGAAGCAGCCTGGATAACTCCTGCAGATCATTTGTGCTTAACTACTCGTGCTGCTCATGATGGATTGTCCTGAAGCAAATCAATTCATTGACTATTCTCAGCAGAAGTGTTGACATGACCGATCACGGATTGTTAAAATATGTGCTATGGCAGAGATGCTTTGTAGGGTTTCCATCAGACTACTACCAGCTGCGGACAAAATTGTGCGTCTCCGCGTGGTAGAGCTGCAGCAGCCGCTCTTCTTCAGCGGCATTCGGGTACGCTTCCACATTGAGGAAGTATGCCTGGTGCATCTGCTGGGCCTGCTTCAGAACTGCTTCGCACTGAGAATGCTGCTTCCCCCGGCAGCTGATGCCAAGGAGCCACATCCTTGGTGACCTCAGGGTAGCAAGCGTATCGCTGAGAATCAGCAACTATTTAGACGCTCCAGCATATTTCTGCTTTGGTAATTAATTGGGCCTAAACAAAGTTTTCGACCCACCAATAGGTCTAAGTCTTAAGTTTCATTTCTTTTGCGCCAGTACGTACTTGCAAACTTCCTCCCTCATCTGTGATAATAGCAAAGCATAGGACACTTTGGGCGCTGAGGTTGCAACAGCAGCTTTGCCACAGTACTGGAAGTCATACACCAAGGGAATGGCTTCTCCTCAATCTGCAGAGACTCTGTAAGGCCACGGAAGCCCCTGAAGATAATAATGGGTTCAAGGCACTGAGCCATGGCAGACAGGATGGAAGCAGTGGCCAGGGCAGAAGCCAGATGAACTGTAGTCTAATTCCGGTTTTGTAGGGGGTTCTCTCGGTTATAGGGGTTATTAAGGGGTATACTAGGAATTTAGACTACAGCTCAAATAATATCAACGTCTTGCTTGAACTCGCATGACTGCATGCAATGAAAGACACGTCCTCCTTCCCCGCTGGCAAAGAGGATGTTTGCGCCTTTGGCATCCCCATGGCATACCTAAGCCGGCTGCAACAACTACATGTTTTGGCTTCATTTTCCCCGCGGCATTTTGTGCATGCCTTTCGTACCCTGCAATGGACAAGCCTCATGAAATGCTGGGTTCAGTGCAATTCTGCTGCCATCAGACACTCTAACAAGATTATGGAACCCCAGCACAGTTGGGTAGTTTGGCGAGGAGAACATCCCCCCTCAAAATTCAACAGGCCGCCCGCAAGGATGGGGAAAAAGAGCAGCTTGAGACTCCGAGTCTCACGGCAAGTGGATGTTCAGGTATTTAAGTTCGAAAATGTGCAGTTCTGACTGCGGTGAGCATATGAGAAGAGCCTCCAGCTGCATGTCTCACATGAAAAATGACTGAAGCGTGATGATCCCAGTGCTAGGAGCTTTGCCGTGACACCTGCGACACTTGCAGCAAAGGTGCGGACTGCATGGGGTCCTTGGTTGTGGAAGGTGTTCCAGTACGCGGGAGCTACGTTTGCCCTTTGCCCTGAGCAGAAATACATAAGCAACCATGGCAGCAGCAATGTGACGGCAGGGTTACCACTACTACTACTACTGCTACTACTACTACTCCTCCTCCTGCTGCTACTACTACTACTACTACTCCCACAAGATCTACCCCCAAAAAACACTTTCACCATGGCCACCTCTGCTTGCTACAAAGATTAATGATGGCCCCACTTTTCTGGGTTGCTGTTAAGGAACTTAAAGTAAGTTACCATAATGGGTATATATAGTAATTAATATGGTTTCCCAAATAGAGTAACTCAAATTAAGTTCCTTAACAGCAACCCAGTTTTTGGGCAAGCGGCAGCCTTCAGCCTGAGGTCTATGGCACGGGCAGCCAGCTTCAGTCGGCCCATCCAGCCAGAAGAAGACATCTTCCTGGAGAAGGACATATAAACCCTATTATATTATAGTAGTTTCCATTTTCTTTTCCATAATCCCAATATAACCCCTATATATCCTTATATATTATAGTAGTAGTTTAAGGTGAAATCTCTGACCCGAATGCGGCTTTCGCAAAGCGGCTTAACAGGTTACACTAGGGGGCCTCCAACCAGGGAACTCCCGCAAGCACCTACGATGGCCCTTTTTTGGTCGGGGATGCCTGTGTATGACAGCGCTATTTCAGAGGTGCTCCTGTACGTGCATTTGGTACATCGCCTGTCTCCCAACGCATCTATCATACCATTGCGAGTACACTACATGTCATTCTTGCTATTGCTGCTGCGGCTGGCCATTACTGACTGACATGTTCTGACCGCGACGCCAAGCATGCTTAGCATGGTTGCTATGAGCTCTGCTCTTGCAGTCCATTCCAGCACAACCTGCTCATCACTGAGGAGTCACCCTCCCATTCCATCCCTTGGTCCGGAGGCCCTGCATGCCACAGACAATTTTACGCTCTGCGTGGACTGCATGGAATGGGTCTTTGAAATGAAAGCTTCTTAGACAACTACCTGTACCCCAATTGGGAAGTCTGCACCAGTAGTGAGCTTATGCGTCGGATAGCTGACTACCGTTACCACCCCAGGCATCCTGTGTTCGTCGGGACGCGTGTCCAAGTGCCAGTAGCACCTGAAAGTGGGTTGTCTGGGTAGTTCTCACCTGCCTAAACACTACTGATATCCTTTGAATGGTAATTCGCCATGCCAATCGGGGGCGTCCATGACAGCTCATAACCACAGCATGTCATAATTCTTCTGGAGTCTAGTTCTTGTCGGTCTTCAATTCTGCACATGGCCAGGTGCCGCTGAGAAGCCCTTGAGGCTGCAGGCCTCCTGCAGACGGGCCTGAGGCAAGCAGTCTAACCCCACCTTCTTGGTCAGGCTTCAAAATGTTGAAGTTGACCGCTTGGCCCTTGAAGCCCCAACAAAGACGTCTCTTCAAGCCAAGTGTCCACAGGCTTCGTCAGCCCTGCGGCCCCAGTATGTCCTTGTGAGCGCGTGCAAAAACTCTCATGCCGGTTCCCCACAAGCGGCGTCATTGAGGCATGACTCGCTGCAGTAAAGCACCTAGCGTCAGACGAAGTTGGTGACCATAGGGAGCTTGAGCTTATGATGTATGATCAAGACAATCGAGACTGTGACCTTTCATGCAAAATGTTTTCTGAAACAATGCTTCAAAGCTTCGCATGAAGGCGCGCGAGCCATCCAATGAATGCATCCGTTCCTCGTGGATGCGATGGTTTGCCTACAGCTGCAGGGCCAGACTCTGAACACGGTGAGGAGGACTTGGCCAGCTGACCGGCTGGTAACCCAGGGTCCTCCTCCGCACTTCAATGGGCTTCTGAAAGAATGCTGGGATCCTAGCAGCTTAGCAGCTCCCAAAGAGCACCCGGCCGGCAACCCATGTAAGGAAGGAAGGCTGGAACGCGTTTTTTCTTGGAGTCTGTGGCAACTCGCGAACAAATAACCCAAAGAGATGACAAGATAAAACGCAGCCGTGGAAGCTGTGGCTGGCCATTAGTTCAAGCGCGCGGGACTCTTGCGTTGGAGCCAAAAGCCTAACTTTGGAGACCCTAAGCTGTCGGTTTCAACCTAGCAGGACGCGAGACAATGAGATGACGGCTGCTCCCTGGGGGAAGGCTGGATTGTAGTGCTAAGGCACCTGGTGAGTGGCATGAAAGCGACCATGACTGGCCGATGCTTGCTTCAGATTCCGGCCTTCCATCTTGGTCATACAGATGGTCACGCCCTCGCCACGCGAATGCTCCACATGCAGAGGGAAGGGCACGTTGCACCCAGCCGAGATGAGTCGTTCTGCATGACCCTGGCATTGAGCTTCTCAAAGTGAGGGTTCGCTAGGCTGGTGATGGGCGGAGCCCATTTGGGGACAGTCTGAGTTGAATTCAAATCTTGCCTTCTGGTAGAAGGCAGCCTCCACATCATAGCTGTCCTGGCTAGCAAGTGCACAGCACCTCCATGCCACAAACTACAGGCACGTGTCGCCACCAGGCACAAAGCTTTCATGGGCGACATCCCTTGCAAAGCCTTCTTGCGCTGGTCGCCGATGCTGTCACATCGCTTTGGAAGCTGCACACGCTTGGCCACAACATGTTGGACCCCCTTCTTGGAACTCACCTGGTGGGGCAGCACTTGTCAGAAACACGTAGGGTCGACAGCCTAGAATTGACATGCCTCTTGCTCGGTAAACGCAATCTCATGTTCACAGGACAAGGGCCGGGACCATGAGGTCGTACACGCTGCCCATTCCAGCCCACAGCGACGCAATAGCCCTCACCTACAGCAAAAGCAAAATGGAGAAGAAGATGCACTCCGATATCTGGCAAAAGATCTGGCAGGGCGCCTTGACATCTGTAATGGCGTCTGGAGCTTCAAGGCCAGCATCCTTAAACCGCGGCAAGCATCGCTCCACAAGCGAGCGAGCTTCTGCTTTGTCCATGGCACAGCCGCAGCGTCACGCTAGACGAACAAAACCCCAGCTCAGTGTTTTGGAAATAGTGTAACTAATCCGACAACGTTTTCAGTTCACTTTGAAGATCATGTCAGTCTGTCGGCTTAGATCACCGGAGACGGCGCAGACATGACCTAGTTAAGTCTAGCCTCACCCGAATGAATAAACAACTTCCGCAAGGCATCTGAATCATTCCGAAACGAGTGCTCACCCACTGCTTCATTGCATCATATCGTGGCATGGCATGTCAACTACGTCAGACTTGGATCCTAGACTCAGCTCAGCACCGGCACAGTTCAGCAATGTACTCTCAGATACTCTTAGCATCTCTTGGCTAAACCCCTACGCCCAGCATGGGGCCTAGTACCCTGAGCAGGTTGCGCAAGAGCAGGCTTAGCCCGGAAAACTCCAAGCTGCCTTGGCTTCGCCGGCAGCACGGGCATGCGAGGGCGTTAAGGAGTGCCTGGGTCCATAGGGCTGGGTCCAAGGCATTGCCCCCAAGTATCTGGAGTTTGTTGTTGGGCTATGCACCTTGGAGCACCACTGCAGGAGGTGTTGATTTAGAGACTTGGCTTTCTGGTTGTGTAATCTGGGCTTCTGAGCTTGCTGAGTCCAGTGTAGTGCTAGCATACCATCCAATAGCCGAACTAATCGCGCTTTTCTTGGGGTTTGGACATTCACTGAATGGCAGGTTCCAGCCCATGGCCATTGATTTGCAACCTAGTCATCTTTCAGAGGCAGCGGCAAGCGCGAGGGATGCGCCGATGCTACGTCAGCGACCTCGCTGGGAAGACTTGCTTCTGGCGCGCCTTTGCCCAAAGAGCGCGGCAGGTTGCAAAATGGATCCTACATGAGCCATGGTCTAAACTCCTAGCATCCCCCTTAAACCCTGATAGTAACCCCCGTTAAGTTTGCACTATGGATCCCACTAGGCAGGCTGAGATGACAACATGCGACGCGCAATTCGAATCCTCTCCCCCTAATATTGAACCCTGGAAGCTGCCAAATTATCAGGGGGTATATGAGCTATAGTCTGAACTCCAAGTATCCCGCTTGATAACCCCTATAATAGTCCCCTATCTAATCCCCTATAGACCCCCTTTAAGGAGTTTAGACTATGGCTCATATGAGGGTTCTGGAGGGTGGCTCGAGTGCTGTTGCACCAGTCATGTTCAGTCCGAATCCAGCAAACAATCGAGCCATGCTTTTAGACCGCCAAACCCACTACACTCATGACAGCTATGCGCGGCACCTGGCACGGTGGAGCAAGAATATGTTGACAAACCACTTCCGGACCCTGTTATACTGTTACATTGGAGATCCTAGTTCCTTAAGGTCGTTCATACTCTCTGTAACAATTTTCGGTTTCAGTGGCCCATTTAGGAAGATTCTGTTCAGGCTGACTCAAATGGGACAAGCTCCTCACCTGCCATGCTCTCGACGACCACTGGGCTGAACTGGAGCTCCTCGCGCTCTCCTGGCCCGCTGCAGACAGACAAAACATGAGTGCGCCAGGGAACTAGGACCTCCGATCGTCCGCAGACAAATTTGACAAGTCTTCACTCGTGCCACACTCATCCCAATCGCAGACCCAAATGTTGAGAAACTTGGCCCAAGCTTTTGAACATGTTTCGCGCCCACTCATAACTTTAACACGGCCAGACCCCCAACACTTAAAGACTTACTTGCAATTCAAGGACTCTTCTGCTACATGGGGGTTTCGAGGTGCTTAATTAGGTGAGACTCTGGCTGACCGGATGCTTGCAACGGGTCTTCCGGGTCTCTCTACAAGGAACTGTCGAAAGTGCAGAAGACAACTTCAAACAAAGTCGCCTCGTACTACCCTAATTAAAATACATGCTTATCCCTCGCCACTCTAGGGACCTTTGATTTACATTCCCTATGCGCAGCTGCGAGATTTTTCGCTGATCCATTCAGCTCCGACGCTTCCTCTCGGGCTCAACTCACAGCACTACACACTGGCCTGCAAGGTAAGCCCCAAGCCCTCAACTCTTTTTAGCACACATAAGACTCCAGTCTCCAGGCCATAAACCTTAAATCTTGAAGCCTGAACCGTGCGACCTCGACGTGACCAGCCCACCGGGCTCACCGGGCTATCGGAACCCACACTGGCCACGCTGGCCACGGAGTGAATTGTGTTCATCAAGCCTGTTCGTGTTCAGGTTTTTCAGCTTCCACACTTCTCTGTATATGTCTTGGGGTTTAGGGAAGAGTTTAGAGCTTTTGGACTGAGGAGGCTGAGGGATGTGAGTCTTTGAAACCTGCCCCAGGTTCATGATGAAGACGCAGGGTGATGGGTTTGGTGTTGAAGTCAAAGGTGAAAGCAAGGTGATTTGCGTATCAATTGGTCCCTGACCCTATGTCGCCGCCCCATTCATTTTTTTTCTGCCATTCCCCGCGTCGTGGAAGAACTGACCAGAGCTACTCAAATTTAGTGCTA